ATACAGTGTTGGTCTCCCCTTGGCATACGGATCAGTTAGCATTCAGTGTTGATTCTATGCATCTTAGGGGACCATTTAATAGTTATATAGGAATCACGGGATCATTAAGGTTGAAGAAAGCCCAATAAGTCCATCAGGTCCAACTGCCATCCCCTCCCCACCATGCCCACTGAACCATGTCCCTGAGTGCCATGTCTACTCCAGTAAATAGTCTGCACAAAATCATGCTGTGTTTTTACAGCTGGAAGAAGTAAGTTCTCGTCACAATTAGTGAAGTTCATTCCAGTGCTATAATCATACTATGTGCCTTTAAATAAAATTTAAAACTGTGAATAACAAAACAAATTTCATATATTTTAACTGCTGTGTTATGTGCAGTTTCCTGTACCATCAGCGTGGCTGATTCCAGCATTTGGATTTTAAGTCGTAAGCTTAGCCTCTGTGTTTGTGCATATTCACCATCTTGGTATTTTATATGTAAATCTCAGGATTTCACTACCATGCATATTCCCCTGCAAGTACTTCTCTGCCACAGTGCAAATCTCTGTGAGCATAGCCTTGATGAATTTTTACAGATAGTTTTATTCCAGTTGCATGGCTAAGACATTTCGTGTATGTGTGCCAAGCTGTCAAAGCTGCAAGGATCTAAATGAGGCCAGAGCTGCCACCCTTAGGAAACAGAGAACACAGAGATTTGAGGGCATGATGCTCGAGAGCTGTAATATCTTGCTGCAGTGTAGTTTAGGTTTCTTATTGAAGGACTGGAATGCTTAAGGAATGAGCGGGAGTCCAACGTAACTGGATATTGTGAGGTTTATTTCTGTGAACAAAGAGCAAAACTGTGCCAGTTTGTTTAGGGCAGAACTGGAAGAATGTCAGGCATACTGCTAAGGGTGCATCTTTTTTGCCTGAAAGAATAAAACCTACTCATTATTAGTGCAATAATGAAAGTGCTAGAGCAGTCCAGTTGTAAATGAGTTACACCCTTTGCGGTTTTGCTAATTCTCAATGTGCTGTGATCCCTCAGTGTGCGTGCACCATCTCAACTGTCTCACTGAATGCTAATGAGCTTCTACCGAAAGTAATCACAGAAAGACATCTCTTCCACATCAACACCTATTACCAGCTCCAAAATTGGTTTGTTAAGCTTACTGGGGATATGCCTATAGCTGTGTAGCTGCCTGTAAAAACTGGAAGTCACAGCAGGCTCTGTGAAATAGAGCAGTAAGATGGACTTGAGGACTATCATGTCGTGCCCGTACCAGGGAGATGTCTGAGTATTTACCAAATACATTGCAGCTATCCCTAAGGCAGTGTAAAGACAAGGTAAAAACGAAGGAGCAAACTGCATATGGAAGTCCATATATTAACAACACAGTTCCTATAATTAGAGGCAGGCAGGAAGCAATACATTAAGAACACACTTATATCTAGCAGTGCCTTAGATCAGCTCTGAGATTTTCTCTGCTTCTTCCAGCAATCCAGCTGACAGATGGTGTCATAGCTTTGTGGCTGAGATCCAGAAGTGAAATGCATGTCTTGGGTTTAGCTATCACTAAAGGGAATCTTGAGTTGGAATGTGTGTACCCAAGCTGTCCCCAGCTTTTCATTCAGGCCTTTCTCTTCCAAGAATTTCCTGTGATTGGTAACTTTGGGTTCACAACTCATTTCAGTACTCCTCCTAGGGTTTAGCATTTCTCAACACTGTCTTTAGAAATGCTTTTTTCCTTAGATGGAGTAAGCTGGAGTCATCTTCTGCCTGTATGAAAAATGGGGTTTCTTAATTATTCTCCTGGTACATCAGTAGAAAGAAGTCACAAACCTGCAGTTTACCTATTGGAAATATTTCCTCTATTTTGATGTGTTCTTTACACAGTGAAACTTCTTCCATGTAAGTTGCCAACTCTGTCTTTTATGAAACTACAAGTAAGCATATGATTTATTACTATTTCTTGTTCAGGATTAAAACACAGTCATAATCATACACATCCAGGATGAGTATAAGCTTAAAAGGAATTAGGTTAGGAAGAAATTCTTTACTCAGAGGGTGGTGAAGCCCTGGCACAGGCTGCTCAGAAAAGCCCCATCCCTGGCGGCATCCAAGGCCAGGTTGGATGGGGCTTTGGGCAGCCTGATTTACTGGGTAGCAACCATCCCACAGCAGGGTGCTGGAACTGGATAGGCTGTAAGGTCCCTTCCAACCTAAGCCATTCTGTGGCATCCACTTTGGCGTTGGGGAGTCTGTGATAACAACAGCTGCTTTGCAAGAGCTGGATTAATATACTTGTTGGGAATCATTTGAATCAGCTTTATAGCTTTTGATAAAAGCTTCTGTTTTGTTACAGTTCATTCTTTCATTGTGCAATGCATTTCACAGTTCACATCCATCTGCAAATGTATTTTTTTTTTTTAATCCATTATGGCTACTTTTCCTCTTCCATTCATCTATTTTGAAATAAACAGACTAAATTAATTCAAATGTTTGCCTCTGAAATGCCTTTATTTTTATGGGATATATACTACCTCCACAGAGGGATTTATGTGTTTCTTGCAGGGGAAAACTAAGTACCCACTTACAGTATCTTTTATTAGCCAGATGATGCTTTCAAAGTGTTGAGAAAACATGAGCAAATTAGTCTTCATGCCAACACCCAATATGTCAGGGGTGTCTTCATTTTTATTTATTTTTTATCTTCACTTTGCTGTGAGGGTTACTGAGACATCCCAGATAAAGCACATTACAGCATGTTAGGGTATACCTAAGACCTGGTTTGCTGACTGTACGTGTCATGGAAGGACTGGTGGCCATACTATGGGGTATACCCCTCAGATTTGTGTAATATTAGTTTGCCACACTATTTTAGCATTTAATACTTTAGAATTTTAATATTGGCAACATAATATTTTGTGGGAGTTGGTGTGGAAAATGTCCAGATTAGAGACCTTTTAGGTTTCTATTCACAAGTCTCCTCTGTGATGAGTTGTTACCATTCCTGGGGTTTCTATTTCTTCTACTAAGCTTCTTTTGTCGTTTATTCTGAGCAGAGATTGATTTTTGTCTCACTTATACAAAGAGATCCTCTGCTTCTATAGTTAACTCTGCAGAGAAGCATATATATATATATATTTTTTTTTTCATGGCAAGCTACTTGAAATGGTGTAAAAAAACCAACAAACCTCTCCTGCTATCTCTCTGGGTCTACATCATGAGCTTTGTTATCCTGATTTCTGACCAGTAAGGTGTATGCATGGCCCCTCCTTTCTTCTCTCAGTTGTCCCATCTTGTTTTTTGCCCATCTCATTCCCGTCTAAATACTTCTTTGCCAGATATTTGACTTCCCTGTATTTAATTTGATCCCATTAGATCCAGTACTCCTCCTACCATTGCTCATAATTTCTCACCCTCTCTACACGTTTACAGCAGGGCTATGTATACTCACCCGTTAGTTATCAGTGAACTAAGCTCAATATTTAGCACTTCTGATTGTTTTTTGAAAATGAATCACCACCTCCCCACCAGTCTTCTGATGTGGGTGCTTTTTTCAGCATTAGATGAATGACTTCATTTTGAATATTCATTTAGAAGGCTAAATTCTCACTTGTACTTCATGAAAGGAATGTATGTATTTCTTATGTAATTAGTGCTCGCTTGAGAACTATATTAAAATTATACTAGACAAAAGTTAGTGCTAGCCTGTACTAAAGGGAGTATTAACTGAATGATAAAATGCTCATTTTCCACCTCCAGTGTGTCTCATGGAAAGCATGTAACAGGTTCTATAAATGGCTCAGCGTAAAGGTGTAGGTAACCTGTTATTCTCGTTTCCTTTTACCTGAGAAAAGGCTGTAAAGATACAGTTGTGTGATACTGTGAGGTTCGACAACAGATATGATTTTGCGGATCTCCATTGGAAAGGCAGCAGATCGAGGGCACACTGAGAGGCGGGCGGCAGCCCCGAGCCTGGGATCGATGTGTGCGAGCGCTGCCGCTGGGCGGCGTTGTTCCGGCTGCGCCGAGCCGAAGAATTAGCGGCAGAGAAAAGTCGCCTGTGCCGTTTAAAAGGAATCCTGGTCAGGAGCAAAGCTTCGTATCAAAGCGCGGACAGGAAAAACCCTGCCTCGTTAAAAATCAGCTTAAAGCCAGCCGTCCTGCTCCTCTCCGTCTTTCTGCCTTTCTCCCCCGCAAACGAGCTTACGACTCTCCTTCAGGGCAACAGCTCCGGCGGCTTAGAAGAAATTTGTACGCGACTAAAAACGAAGTTCCAGCTTCCTCGTCAGACGAGATCCGCCACGCGCGCTCGAGCCGAGCGGGAGCGCGCCCCGTCGGCCCCACGCTCCGCCCCACGCTCCGCCGCCGTCCCACAACCCCCCGCGCTCCGCTGCCAAGATGGTGCTGCTGCTGCGGGCGGCTTCCTACCCGCGCCGGGTGCTCCTCGCCATCGCTCTGCTGCGGCCTCCGGCGGCCGCCGCCTGCGCGCACGGCTGGTTCCCGGGGAGCGGGCGGCGGCGGGGCCCGGGCAGCGGCACGGTGCGTGGGGCAGGGTCGGGCGGGCGGGAAGGGAGGGGAAGGGAAGGACGGAAGGCTTTGGGCGCAGAGGACGCTGCGCCGGAGCTGCCGTCGGGGGTCGGGTCCTGCTGTCCTGTGCACCGCGTCCGCTCGCTGGCCGAGCGTTCGAAATCGGTGTGTGCGAGCGGCGGCTGGTTGCCTTGTGTCCTCGTGAGCTCAGGGGTGCCGTTAGGCTCTGTCTTCTGGGCCTTCGGTACCTGGCTGCGCCGCGCGGCCCGGGCTGCACCTCGAGCAGCCGTGAGCCTTGTGTGAGGGCAGCGCGCCGCGGAACTTCGTGCTGTGCTGACCTGACCCTGGGGCTGGCCTGAGCCTTCCAGGCTGGGTGCTACTGCGGGCTGGTGGCCGGCACGGGATTCTAGAAGTGAAACCTGGCCCTAGAGGGGCTGGGTTTTTGCCTGTGAGTTGTGGTAATGGAAGGCAAAACTTCTGCCGCTGCTGAGCTCCGAAGATGGTTAGAGCTTTGTGGCAGGTAAAATCTGATGCCTAGTGCTGTACTGAGCTTTCTTACGTTGCTTGCCTCCTGTGAATGTGGCTGGCCTCTGGTTCTTTGCAGCAAGCTTTGTTAAGGGTCAGCGTTATGCGACAGGCTGTGGGGCTGTGCTGGGTGCACTGTGCTGTGTCAGACAGCAGCACGCTGCCCTGCTTCCCAGCCCGTGCAGTTCCTTGTTGTCAAAGAGCCCCGTGTTGGAAGGGCTCCTTCCAGCTGGCTTTCTAAAGCACGTGGCTTATGGCCTTTCCTCAGCAGTTCTTCAGCTTGCTTGCTCAGGAATATTTGCTGTTCCACTACGAAGGTTCTTTTCGTAGGGAAGTTGCTGGTAGTGTTAAATTGGGAGGGTAAGGGTTTGCTTTCAACTCTGACATCGGTTTTGTGGTCTGCTACCTTCTAGTTTCAGCATTTAAACATGGGACTAAAAGACCTGCTTTAAGAGAACAGTTTCATAGTTAACTGCTCCTTTGCAAATGGTTGAATACACATTCAGTCTAGGTTTGCTTGCTTTTCTGTATTTTGGAGCAGTCAGCTCTTTGTTATTCCCTTTTTTCCTTTCTTATCCCCATCCGTTTCTCAGTGTTTGGGCAGTAATTTTGTTCCCACACTTCTAGTAGTTTAACTTTTTAAAAGTAAAGCACGCTCTAGTCTGCTACCTGCTTAATTCTGCACAGGGATTAAGTTAAATGCAAGCATCAGATCAGTTTCTGTAGTCTAAACAGTTTCCATCCTTAAAATCAGTATTAAAAATGTGCTAGTACCAGAGCACAATCCATCTTCTCTAATTTCGAAGGGGCATGCAACAGGTTTGACAGTATTCTTGCATTGAGGGTTGCCACAGCTGTCTTTGTATGTTATAAGCTTCATGCTGAAGACGAGCACTTGTAACTAAGGTACAAATTGGAATTCTTTCTGTCAGCATGTTCCAGTCAATGATTTTGATTGCACGTAAAGAATTGAGTACATATCTCAAATTGAATGAGGCCGGCTTTCAATAATTCATATGTGTTTTTCAATGTGAGTGAAGGAAGTGCATCTCAGAGATCAAATGAATTAACTTTCCATAAATTCTCAGATAGCTATTAGTTCTGCTGGATAATAACCTTAAGCCTTTTATCCTTCTTCCAAGAGCACTGCTGTTTATGACGAACTTCTTAGTGTCCCCTTGATTTATTGCCTCTGACAGGCAGAGTTCTGTTACAGATGGCAATCAACTTAATATTACTTAGAAGAAGAGATGAGCAGGACTGAGCTAGTAAGTTTGGGAGGCTTTTAGTATTGAAACCTGTATAAGATGAGAAGCTGAAGCTGATGCACACCAAGTGTTTTCCTATGTATGTTAATATCTTGGTATTGTCCAGTATTCAAAGGAATTTCGAATGTCACAGCAAGCAAACAGCAACGTAAGCATTGTGATGTGTATAATTGCTTATTTTAATCCTTTGAATATTTTAGTTTTCATGTGAAATGTGAGTTGTGCACGTACCATATTCATATGGTGTATACAGTTTTAGCATGTATGAGAGCTCTTCTGTGACATTTATTGCTCTCTTGTAGGTATCAAGTATGGGTTAGCTCTTGCACTAGCTTGTTGAGTGTAAGGGCAGTAATTGTGACGTAAAAGCTTATGACCCGACCTGTTAATATTCAAATGTAGCAGACTTATTTGGATAATCCACACCCTTCTTTCCTCCCTCTTGTGTTTCAGCAGTTTGATCTGCCTTGCTTTTCTGAGTGACAGGATGTGTAACCTTTGTATCCTGGAGAGGAAAACAGCTGAGCTGGAGCTGAGCTGGATGGAGTCGGCAAAGCTGATGTCATAAATATTGTGGAACTGTACAGATGTTGTCTATACTGTGGAACTCTGACCAGAATCAATTTGCTGTTGAGATAAATTTGTGTATCCATAAATGTAGTTCCTTCTTGTCATCCTCCAGTGGTTCAAGGTGTCAGACCTCCTTTTCTGAATGTCAGACCTCTGCTGAGTACTGCCCTGATGGGCTTTGAAAAGTGAAGGGACATGACTATTATGCTTTCTAGGAAACTTGTTGTTTTCCTTGCTTTTGTAATAAGGTTTGCCCTGCATCGAAAATAAAAGCTTAAATGGGGGAAAAATAACATTGAGCTGAAAAGATGCAACAGCTTATAAGTAAGGATAACTATTTTACTGTGAATCTGCTGAAGTCAAGGCATATACTGAGGAGTTTCTTTCAGTGATAACTTCAGCAGCTGTAAAAAGCATGACTTGGGAAGCTGTTGTAAAGTGGAACAGCAGAAAGTAGAAGGGACTTTATTTTTTTTTCTTGTGTTATCTTGGCCTCCCAGCCTGCTGTGTGGCCTGTGATAGTGCATGCTTGTGCATGAGTTAATGGCATCCCTTGCTTTGAAAGCAGTTGTAAGGAGTTGCAGGTTAAAGTTACTTATTTACCTGAAGCCTGATCTTGTGAAGTTATACTGATGTTTATCATCTTGACATCATTTCACGTCTGTTGACATCTGTTTAAAATCTGTTGTTACTTAATGCTCTCAGTTTCATTTGTTGTGGATGTGTGTGCAGAGCAGCCCTACGGTGTTAGATATGTCTCCAGTTAAGTTTATGTTGCCCATACTTATAACAGTTCAGTTTATATTTGTAAAGGTAATGATTCTGCCTATCAGAATACTTTTGTCTTTTCTTGTTTTCCTCTGCTATTCATCTCTTCCTTTCTTGCTGTGTGTCACTCTTCACACTGGGATGTGAGTACTGCACAGGTTTTTGAGTCCTACCTTCACTTTTCTGTTACAGTTAGCTTAAAAAAGAAAACAAACCAATTCCTGTTAGGCTAGTGCAGTTATGTGCTCCACAGAGAAGCTCCTAAGTGTGGGTTTAACCTTGTGCTGGTATGTCTAATCCCATTGCTTCTTTGCATTGATAGTATTTAAACTACCACCAACAGTCATAACACTTCAGCAATATGACTTTTATGTGCAATCAGTGCTAGGCATCTGTTTCATCCTCTAGAGTATACAGAATCATATCCACAAACACATTAAGGGAACTTAATGGTGCAGAGTTAGAAAGCGCCAGAATTGAGGTACCCCACGTAGTTCCCTGACTTCTGAAATCGTCAGGACTTGTTTGTGCTGGATGAAGTTCTGAGATGCTACTTTTACCTGCAGTGATAAGGGCCAAGTTTCCTTTGCAGTCTCAGCTTATTGGGAAGGAGTTGTAATGAGGGACAGAGGAGTGCTAAGTCTGCTTAAGGGGTGTGTGGAGAGTAACAGTGTAAGCTTCAGCCCTGCTCTGGTTCTGTTAATGCTGTGGTGGCTGGAAGGCTTTCCGCTGGACCAAGTTGCTCACCTTGTCAGTGTTCAGTTCTTCATTTCGTTGCTGAAGTCTTGGTTTTTAATAAGAGCTTGAGAGAAGAGGGGAACTTGCAATCTTGCAGGCACGTGTTTCCCCACTTATCTTGTGCAAATCGTATGTCCTTGTCACTGTCTTCATCTCTTAACCCTGTAGCAGTTCATAGTCCCAGTCAACTGAAGACTGCCTAGTGCAGTAATTGAGGTAGATCTGTTGGTGTTTCAGCAGAACTTATTTCTGTGATGTTTCTCCTGTACTTCCGTCAAAAGAAAACTTGTGGATTTGCCACAGGATGTAAATCATTAGTAAAATGTTTTTGTGGTACCTTAGTACGTTCTCCAAGAACAGTACTTAGCTTCTTTCCAGTAACTGTTGGGGCGTCAGTTGTCTGTTCCCATGTGCTAGGAATATACGACAACAGAAATGCATTCTTATTATCAAGTTTGATAATGCTTAAGATTAATACATTCTTTTTCTTGAAAAGCCAAGCAGGAGAGAATGATAGTGCTCAGGAGAGGTTCCAGCTGTGGTGTCTTAAGAAAAGCCAAAGCATAGCAGTGAGCAGTTGGTTCATCAGCCCCTACCCTTCTCTATGGGTGGTATTTCAGCAGTCCTTTATCTGCATCACTTGCTTAAAGAAGTATAAATGCTGGCATAAAGACACCAAGGACGTCAGTATGCTGTCTGTCTGCATACTGTAACTGCCTTTGCTGAATTAGAGAATGCTGCTGCTTTTGTATTGGTTGCATGGCTTCATTTGGTGTTAGGTCCTAGGTTGCTGTCAGGTGCCGCAGTGGTGGTTGCTGCAAGGAGTGTTTAATCCTCCTCTTGCGTGCTGGTGGGAGCCTTATCTGAAATAACAGCGCCTTTGTGGCAATTACATTAATTTGCAGTAACTTGGGACATGGTGAGGTCTCTCAAATCCCTTGTCTCCTCCCATTACGTTTTCTGTTTATGAAGCTGTCACTGTTCATATGGAGAGCGTGTTTGTTTAGATGGAATCTACTGTGTTGACAGCAAGTGACAAGGTTATCTACAATGAACTGCCTTACAGATGAATCTCCTTAATTCAGCTCTGGTCTGGGAAGCATCAGGGCAGTTCGCTCAGGCCAATGAACTCTGATAAGTGGACAGTTCTGATGTTTGCTCTTCCTGCGTGTGTTGCTGTAGAATGGAGGTGCTGGAAATAAGTGTGTCCTGTGTGGTGACATTTGTCCTTTTCCTCTAGGTGATGAGCAGTTTTTGCTATTTATTTGTGTGTGTGTGTGTATTTTTATATGCGAGGTATGTTGTTAGAACAGAGCAGTAAAACATTTAATACTGTGTCAGGGATGTTGTGGAATCTTCATTGCTAACTGAGAGGTACTTGTTTTCCCTGTTGGGAAGCACTGTCAGTTAATCTGTCTGGGGAAAATAAATGGTCCTTAGAATCTTCTATGGAAAATTAGTTGCTCTCAGTGTGGCATGTAAAGCATGCTGCAGTCGGTGCCTAGCAGTATGCCCATGAGATGCACTGACAAGTTTGTGGATGGTGACTACCTTGTGTTCTGCCTGCCTGAAACCTGCCATCAGCCAGGCTGTGATTTCTAGCAGTCCTAATGCATCCCAGGGAAGAGCTGTAGGCTGTGATTGGCCTTGTGGTGTCAGCTGAGCTGAGGGGGATTGGAAGTGGCAGAACCTATAAGCATAACAATTTGTTGTGTAAAATAGAACAAAAGAATATTTTAAGAAGTCAGAAGACAACCTGGGAGAAGATTTAAAATGAGAGGAGAGGGAAAACTTGAGGACTTTCGCGATACAAAACCTGATAGGGCTGAGTATTAAGAGAAGGAAAAATTTAATTGTCATTTAGAGTTCTTGATGGTTGCATGTAATCTATTTTATAGCAGTTCCCCACCAGTTTTCATTCTCTTTTCCTGTGGCCAGTTGTCAAAAAAAGAAAGCCATCTGCCTCGTTACCATGTTCTGCTTGTTTACTTAAACCAGATGAACATTATCTGAATGTGAAGTGCATGTTCTGCTTTGCTCTGTTACATTTTTTTATTCTCTTTTTTATTCTGTAGATTCCACCAATCCGCAAACGAAGATCATGGCAGACTCTGATGGGAGGTCATTCAAGGCCATTATTGGAGATATCAGATGTAGGTAGAAATTGCTCTTCTTCCTACTCATGGGGAGGAAGAAATCCTTAGAGAGTCTTTCCGTATTCTCCCTTCTCCCCAGCCCTTACAATTTGGAAGTACAGCAAGTTAAATGAAAGTTACGTTTCCACCTCATGAAAAGAAGTCATCTTGAAGTTTCAGACTTCTGCACTTCTCTCACAGCCTTTTTGAATCCCTAAAAGCAAACCAAAACACAGCACATTATAAAGAAGAATTGTTATCAATTCACAAATTTTATGTTTTTACTTCAATTCATGCTGCTAGGCATAGAAAATAGCAATGCCTAGAAAGCTGTGAGTTTTCCATGAGTACGTGGGGCTTTATTACTTCAAATTCCTGCTTAGATTGTGAAGTATCAAGGAACTTTACAAATTTATGCTCAACGTTGTGAACAACAGGGTGTCAGGCTCTTATTCTTGTGAAATCTGCTTGCTTTAGTGCTGATGTAAGCTTAAGGAAGATTCATTTTTTAATGGGTTCATGGAATAATGAAGCAGTGTACTTGGCTTGAATGAAGTTAAAATGTATCTGTGTTTTATATTCTATTATGAAAAAACAACCGCAAAACAATGCTCATAGAACAGAGTTAAGCTAAAATCTGCTGAGTATTTTGACTGTGTCAAATAAGCTTTGAAGTATTCTTTAAAATATGAAAAATGTGGAACTTTGCTTTGGGGAGCTCCAAGCTCTGGTGTCACACTGTGTCTATACAGTGAGATTCCTAAAGAGTTTGTCAATAACTTGTGCTGAAAGGAAGTTGGAAACACCTTGCACACCTTCTGAACAAAATGCAGCCTCTTTAATAAGCTTTAGCATCTATTTTTTTGTGGCAAGCCCATTGTAATTGGAGTCATAGCAAAGTTGTTATTCTCTATAGTGCATCTGCTTGGATTTCTAACTTCTGAGTTTTTATCTGTATTTATTTATCAAGTTGTCTTACTCATGTGATAGGAGAAGGGAGCATTGGTTTTTATTAAGCAGGTTTATAGTGCAGCTGCATGTATACACGCTGTACCAAATTGCAGCTGGAGCTGTGGACCTTGTACGCTTTCATCTGTCATACGGTACCAGTGAGCCATTCTCAGCCTGATAGGAAAGAAGTGGGAAGTGAGTTTTGACCCCTCAGCAGAGTTGTTATTGTTGTACATGAAAAGAAGATTATTGCTTAACTATGTCCCACTTTATTTATTAACATGTTCAGTTACATTTATCTTCCAAAACTTTAACTTCTTTTCAGTGTTCTTTGTTCTACTTCTTAGTTGTAGGTGTCATTTTTACATAAATGTTCAAGACTGTTTTCTTTACCTTCTGGCTAATTGGAACGTTTCCTTTGCTATACAGCTAGATTTATAGTTCTCTTATTGTTTCCTAAAGTAAGGCAAGGCTTTTGAGGTAGGATCTTTTATTAATGTAAGCTGAGTCAGTTGGAGGGTAAGGGGAGAAAAACAGACTTATGGTTGTTCTTTCTGTTGGCTTTTAAGTGCATGTTTCCCGAGGTTCTTGCAAATTAACTTCTCTTTTTCACACAGATTTCTCCAAGCTTGCAACTGATAGAAAAGAGAATGTGTTGGCATGGACATGCAGGTGGAGGGCTTCACACAGATCCAAAGGAAGGGGTAAAAATTGCTTCATTATTGTGTTTTTTTTTCTTAAAAACGCTGTAGACTTCAAATAGCAAATCATTGGCACTGTTGATAGGTGTTTGAATGCTGTAGAACAGTAGATTCTATTTACTTCTTAATCTAAGAGCTACATTAACACAGTTATCACAGAATCACCTGGGTTGGAAGGGACCTCAAGGATCATGTAGTTCCAACCCCCCTGCCTAGCAGGGCCACCAAACACACACATTCAGATCAGGTTGCCCAGGACCCCGTCCAACCTGGCCTTGAACACGTCCAAGGACGGGGCATCCACAACCTCCCTGGGCAGCCCGTTCCAGGGCCTAACCACTCTCCTTGTAAAGAACTTCCCCCTAACATCCAACCTAAATCTTCCCTCCTTCAACTTGAATCCATTTCCCCTAGTCCTGCTGTTGTCAGCCCTTTTGAAGAGTTTACTCCCCTCGTGGGTGTAGGTTCCCTTCAGGTATTGATAGGCTGCAATGAGGTCACCCCGCAGCCTTCTCTTCTCCAGGCTGAACAAGCCCAACTCCCTCAGCCTGTCCTCATAGGGGAGGTGCTCCAGCCCCCTGATCATCTTAGTTGCCCTCCTCTGGACCCTTTCCAAAATCTCAATGTCTTTCTTGTACTGAGGGCTCCACACCTGGACACAGAACTCCAGATGGGGCCTCACAAGAGCCGAGTAGAGAGGGACAATCACCTCCCTGTCCCTGCTGACCACCCCTCTCCTGATGGAGCCCAGGATCCCATTTGCCTTTCGAGCTGCCAGAGCGCACTGCTGGCTCATGTTCAGTCTCTCGTCCATCAGGACCCCCAGGTCCTTCTCGGCCGAGCTGCTCTCAAGGACCACTCCTCCCAGCCTGTACGGGTGCCTGGGGTTCTTCCGGCCCAAATGCAAAACCTTGCACTTTGCCGTGTTGAACCTCATTAGGTTCACCTGAGCCCAGCCCTCCAGCCTGTCGAGGTCCCTCTGAATGGCATCCCTTCCTTCCACCATATCAACCGCACCACTCAGCTTGGTGTCGTCAGCAAACTTGCTGAAGGTGCACTCAATTCCCTCATCGATGTCATTAATAAAGATGTTGAAGAGCATTATCATGAATGTTTGGCAGAGTTCTTTAGTTTCTTTAAAATTCGATGCTGGTGTTGCATTCCTTCGTAACTTCTCTGCAGTAGGTTAATTTTTTTTTTCATACCAAGCATGTTCTGTTGTAGCTTAATGTGGTCTGGTGTTCTTTGCAAATGATCTATCCCTGTGATTTGACATTAGCTTGTGGATACAAGTTTGTGCATCAGCTGGTGAAACTGCGCTTAAAGCAGGAGGAAAAAAACTAAATTGTGCATGTGTTTCGACTTTGATTTAATGTTGATGCATCTGGTGTGCTTTGACTACATTTATAATTGGGAAGCACATATGTTAAAGTAATGGTAGGTATGTAAGGAGAGGCAGTGTCTTCATTAACACGAATGGCTGCAGTTAGAAAATGAGGTAGGCTTTTGGTTAAAGCAATGCAATGTAAACTTGGCCTTTTTGAAATTACAACATCAAAGAGCTTGAGTTACATAACTTTTGTCTTTGCATTTGCTCTGCATCTGATGCTGTGTATGTTTGCAGAACGGTGCTGTGCAGTGGTTTATAACACCCTCTGATGGGATCTTCTTGAGGCCAGCCAAGGCTGTGGTGATGACAATGTTGTTTCAGTGCAGATCCTGGGTGTTTCAGGGCTGGTTTGCTCACGCTTATCTGTTCTAACGGTTTGCTCCCCACAGCCTGGCAGCTCTGGCAGTCCATTTTCCTGTAGCTGTAAAGGAATGGATCATCTTAAATTTTGGTCTAAAAGTTACCCCTTCATTTAATCTCGACCTGTTTGTGCTGCAAGCAGAAGTCAGGAGGCAATTTGCTAACTTTTATTGCTCCTGCAATAAGAGGGAGTTTCATAACCTAAAATTATAACCAGTTTGTTTTAGCAAGCATCTGTGATCACTTCTGAACAAAGCTTGGGGGATGCAGAAGAGTCAGACATTTTCAGTTGGTAGCATTACAGGTGCTGCATGTAGCATGAACTTCAGACTAGTTTTACAACCCTACTTGCAACATGTACAGGCTCTTTTGACACATTTCCTAGGAAAAATATACTTTAAAGCTAGGAAGCTATTTATCTCCCTAATTATCCTAATTGTATATGTTCTTGAATATGATTATTATGGATTGCACTTTTCCTTTAAGTGGAAGGGAGCATTACGTTCCCTGTTGCGTACTCTAGTTCTCATATGTTTGTTGAGCTTAGTTGTTATTTTTTCCTACTCACATTTTTATTTCTCTGGTTACGTTGATCAGCTGAATATTGTCTGTTCACTGTCAAGACCTCTTTTCTTTTCTTTTTTTTTTTTTTTCTTTTACATGTCCATGTAAAACATTTTTAATGTACACTTAAAACAAACTTGCCTTCGTATGGTGCAGTTGCAAATCACATACCCAGCGTCACAACTGACCTGTCTTCAGGATTGCTGCAAGGCTCTGTTTTTGTTCTATTTAAAAAGCTGCTCCCCAAAATGCAGGTCTTTTTCAACTGAACCACCTGTCTGGAGAGGAAAAATAAAGAGTGGCCATGGATGCAAAAACTGAGAGGTTCTCAGCAAAAATGTAGGAAATCTGATGTGGCAGTGTAGTTCTTCCATGCATGTTCGGGTGCATAAAAGATCTGGTACTCCAATTACAATGAGAAATCTTTCCCCCTAGAATTAAACTTCTAGAAAAACTGGAGATAATGCACACCAGCAGTATTAAATCTGTATCTCTTCCAGCTTGCTTATTTTTGACAGATGAGCTTGTTTGTTCCAGAAACTGATTTGGGGACTGATGTTTTAAATTCCCCCTCCTTTACCAGCTACAGGGAATAAAGAGCTAAATGCTGGGGATGAACAAAAAAGTGTGTGTGAAGGGCAGTAGGTGTTACCTTCATCTCACAAATAACTGGAAGATTGCACATCTGTTTTGTTATAAAGTAAATTTTGCTTGCAACATTAGCCAATGTGCAGAAGACTGAAAACAGTAACATTATTTTACTATTTTCAGTCTTTTTGGTGTGTGTGTTAGATTTCTGTCAGCAGAACAGGCAGCAATAAAAGCTGTGATGTCTGACTTGTTGCTAAGCAGTTATATATTACTTTCTTATGGAAACATTGCTAGTCATGTTAGAGTGCAGATAATTAACCTGCCCCTACCTCCATTTCACTCGGTTGCTATTTGGTTTGCTAGTCACTGCTTGCCCTCTGCGGCAGGACAGACAGTAGGAAGACAGAAGACAAAGTACTTTTTTTCCCCCAAAGCTTGTTTGACTTATATTTAAGTTGTTATGGCAGCTTGAAAAGAAATCTTACCTCACTTTGCTGTTTTGCTTGATAGGTGTCTGTACTGTCAGGTAGTGAGCTAGTGTGAGGTAGCTCAGCTGAGAAATAGTGCTGCTGCTTCACTCAAAGCACATTGCTTACCACGAACTGAAGCAATCTTTTTTTTTTCTTAAGAAGTCATGATCTCATGTTCTCAGTCGTGCTTTTTCTCATGCTACTGAATTTGCAGAGTTGTCTGGCTCCTTTCTGAGCTGAAACACAGCAACAAACACTGAATAGTTTTCTGCCAGTTGCATAACTGAATAGTTTCATTGAGGTGTTTCGTGGCCTCCAAAGGTGGTTTGAGAAATGGACTGGGACTGTAGAGTTCAGTGTTGCAAAGAGATGGAAAAGCAAAGGAGGGATCAAGCAATCAAGTTCATGGCTTGTGGAGTTGTCTCATGCAGATGTGAGACAGCTTGTGCTGGTACAATGCAGATGGTGGTACAGCTTCCTGAGTGAGTACACAGAGAGCCAGAACTGTTTTTTTTTTTTGTTTTTTTTTTTCCATTGTCAGCAATGACAGCTTAAATGCAAGTCAAGCTACCACTTGTCCATCATGCTTCTGATGGATCTTCCTCCTAGCATAAACTTCATACATGAAGTCACAGGGCCAGCCCACTGAATGCTTTGCAGTACTCCGTAGTCTTGGAGATTATGAACAGAAATTATTATATATATTTTCAGGTGTTCTAGAAGGTGTAGAATCTGGAATAGTCAGGGACAGAAAGAGAGGCAGTATTTATTCCTTCACAAATAAGTCTTTAAGTATTTTGTAGTATTTAAAAAACAGGCTGCAGCTGCTTTTTTAAAGGCTTTTCTTTGCTACCTGCTGTATTGTACATCTAATACTTTTCCTTCTGTCACTTCCATTTCTCTAGGAATAAGCCTTGGAAGAAAATATAAAATGTTACTGCCACTTAGAAGGTTAAAGTAAACATCTTTTTCTTAGCAGTTATATGGCACAGAAAACCTAAAAGGAACTTGAGTCCATTAAGCAGATTGCTCATTTTAATTCTTAATGTTGTCACTTGCATAGTTCAATTTTCAACTTACGTTTCTGTACAGGAGTAACATTTATTTCATGGTAAACTTTGATGTAGTGCGTGTGTGTTTTGCCTCTCCTTTGATATTTCTTCTTGTCCCTTTGCAAGGCCTTTGGCAACTGACTCACTGGCTTCTGACTTCTGTCGCGGTTCAGAGCCATGAAAAAGCTGAAATGGGTTCCTTGTCTGCAGCCAATGTACTTCTTTCATTTAATAGCTTTTCTGTACATAGTCTGAGTATCCTATAGCAGCAAATAATGAGAACTGCACTGGTTGTGCGAGCATCTTCTGTATTAATGGGATACCACTTTTTTTTTTTACCTTCCTTTTTAATCTGTAAGAGCTGATCAAAGATATTTTCCGAATGTTTGAAATGCTATTTATGCATATGCTTAGCTCAAATTGAAAGATTCATGTATGTGCTGTAGCTGATACCTCCATGTCCTCAGCGGGTAGGACAAAGCAGAAATAATTCTGCATCCTCAGTTCCCTTATAAGTCTTTGATTATATCAATTTTTTTAAAGTCATTTGAAATGTGCTTACGCTTTGTAATGCTCAAATATATTTGCAGTTGTTGACAATATACAATATTTCTCCTGATGGTTGTCTTTGAAGTCAGTGACTACGAACACTGGGATGAACTTCCCCAAGCTTTTAAAAGCTTGCACTTACAGGATTGGCTTCACTGCTTGTCTTCTTAACAGAACTCCTTTCTCACTCATTCACGCTAAACCTTAACAGAGGATTTTTATTCTAATTAGCTCTGTTCTCAAAATTGAGGTCCTAACATGTGAGACACATGAACTAGTGAGGGAAGTGTTAAATCACTTTGTAAAATTCCCCTTTCTGTGGGCTACTGTAGTGAAAAACCACCGTAAAGTATGGACTGACTTTTTCTTCTTCCTCTTCAGTTCCAAAATATTGCCTGAAATAGAGAGATTAGCTGCTACTTGCTGCCCTCCCTTCAGCTTTAGATAACCTTTGTGCCTTTGACATTGACTCTAGGGTATCCAACACAAAGAATGAGGTTTTGCCACTTGCGTGTGCACTGCATGCGCTTTTGTTCTGGCTTGGCTTTGTTTCAGCTGTGGAGTTTGGTGGGATATCTTTGGATGTCTTTCTCTGGATGTCTTTCTCTGTTCCATTTTTGTTTTACGTGCACTCTTGAGAACACATTAATTAAGAACAATTAATCTGTTTTATTGGTGTCATGTATATAAACCTAAAAACTTACAGCTCAAAGTATTAATAGGTGGTCCTGATAGCAAACGTTGTGGACGGTGTCCCTATCAAATAAAGTACCAGTTATCCAAATCTACACAATTAATTCTTAATTACACTGTTACTTTGCTGCGTGAGTCTCTTTATAACGTGATGCCTTTGTTTGCTCTTTTCAATAGCTGAAAGAGATAGATGCCAAGAAGATTGTCAGAGCGATGCTGTCTTATGTGTGGCCCAAAGACAGACCAGACCTGCGAGCCAGAGTAGCCATATCTTTGGGGTTTTTAGCAAGTGCAAAGGTAAGAACAAGTGTTTCACTGTATTATGATACTCAAGCTCTTGCTGCAATGAAGTCAACGTTTATTAGCTGTTAGAAGGAAACAGGAGTGCAAAACCTTTCCACAGATTAGTGAAAGATATAATTTAAATTTAGTGGAAACCTTGTGGGAATAAATCGGAAGGGGAAATGTGAGTTTGTGCAAAAAGTGTTTTGGAAAAAACAACCATCAAAGCATTTAGTTAAGATATTGAAATAAAGTTTGTAAGCATCATTGAGACATATGGCTCAACCGACTTCCTTCTAAATAGGGCAGTTTTTACCAAACACGAAGCTAATATTAGCAACTTGATGGGATAAGCTGAAGTAGGTGCTGCTTAGCAATGAGTTTCAGCACTCGAGTTAGTCTTGCTGTATTTCCTTATCAGTGTTCAGCAACGTTGCTGTGTTGTGGAAAGAGCAAAGAAACAAACTTGAGTTATGTAGGTGATAAAAGAGTACTTGGAAAAGAAATGTGCTCATTTATTTGAACTGAAAAGGAAAGGCCAATCTTTTGGTGTACAGTACTTTCTGGTAGAAGCAATCTATCAGGTGGTAGCTGGTACTGTCTCCAAGAGATATTTTGGTTTGTGCTGCTGTTCAGGAAGTTGCTGATAATGCAGGTGATGACTTGCAGAATATGGCGTGTTTGTACAAGCAAACTTCCATCCTTTCTGTATAAAATACTGCTTTTGTGTATACTCAAAAGTATCTGGGAAGCTGTCTGGTCCAAATGAACGTGCTGAGAGTGTTTTGCTTTAATATACCATGTCATTGCCCTCACAGTAATGTTCTACTGATTATAAATTGTTGGTTTATGAAGCTTGTGTGTGATCTACTTTCAGTACACCCATCTACAGATGCTTGAGTTTCTTTTTAAAGCCTCTTATTGGTATTACAGATAGTAATCTGAAGACAATATTGAAAGAAGTTTAAAGTACTTTTTCTGTACTTTTTCTCATTTGCTTGAAGGCTGCCATGGAGTTCTTCCCCCTATTGCTTAATGAATGCTGTTTTTCTTGTGTGGTCTGAGCCATTAGTGATGTTGCTTAAAACTTTTTTCACTACAAGTAACGTCCATTGTAGCAGCAGTAGCATTTATTCTCAATCAATGGAGATCTCCAGGTAGGTTCCTGGTACCTAGTAGATAGCCCCTCAAGGTTTTCTGTTTCCTTAGGCTTGGAAATAATTGTTCTTTGGGGTTTATTACAGTAGTGCTTCCTCACTGGAGAGGTTAGTTAGGCATTTTGGCTTTTTTGATTCCTAGTTAGGCATGCCATGTCATATTGGGCTTGAATTGCAGCTGGTCAGAGTGCAAATGAGATGTTTGGTTTGAAACTGAAATCTGCTGCAAGAGACAAGTCTTCCCCAGTACCCTGTCAGAAAATCAAGCATTGAATAATTGCTCTTTAGGGAAGTAAATGGATGTTGGAATGTGCTAACTGTTCTTTTAAATTTCCTACTTCTAATTTAGCCTGGAAGCACTGATGTTCAATACAGCTTCCTGAAGGGAGAGAGCAGAAAAGCTGTTGAGCTTTCCTCAGGTTTTAGGAGGTGACTGTTAGAAGTGTTTTGTCAGAATGTTTGTTATGGCAAAGAAGAACTTCGTTTAGGAAACACACAATAAGTAAGCTCTCAACAGATGTGTGTTATATCTCTGGGGTAAAAGTTTTTGTGGAAATCTTCTAGCTGTGCTTTTCTGTAATTGCAAAGCTTTATTAGAGCTCAAAAATAATTTCAATTGAACACATCATCCCTCATCACCTGCACTATATCTCCTTTTACTTTGTGGGGTAAATTTTCTTGAATTGCTTCATATTTTAAATGTGCTCACGTGCACACAGTAATTGTGGCATAACTGACATGCAGTAGATTTGCAGAGCTATAGAAAGTGTAGTATCTCTGAGCCCAGAACATTGCTTTTCTTCCATGGTGAGCTAAAGGTCACTTGGTCCTACAGAAAATTAAACACAAATCAGCTTACCTGTAAATTACATGGACCATATAAAAACCTGTGCGATTTCCTCATTATTTGATCTGGGACCCTTTGTTCAGATTGCTTGTGGGGTTAATTACAAAGTACTTAATAGACCACACAAGCAGTTAGTTAAAGTTTCGCTGCTATTCAGTTGTCAGTGCAAGAATGCCAGTGTGTCTTTCTCCTTGCTGCAGTCCTGGCCTGCTTTCTTTGTTTGCTATGAACTTGTCTGCATCTGAAGGATTTCCATCCTTGCTATGCATGTGCTGTAAAGGTTGCTTGTTCTTAGGGCTTTTGCATAGAGAACCCCATGATCACAATGCCTGTTACTGGTCACCTTCCATCACAAGAAATTCTTTTAAGCCTTTTGGCCAATTTCTTTTAGGTTTGACAAAGGAGTTTGAATTTTTATACCTATATATACACAGTAAAGTTTCACTTCTTAAGGAAAGATAGGAGCTATGGCTCTGAGAAAGAGGCTGTAGGATAGCTTCAGTTTTAGAGCAAAACTACCACAGTAATCCTCAGCCACAGGAAAAAATCTATGACCTCATGCCAGTTTGTGGACTTGCCCACAAAACAGACAGAAGCTGCAGATCATACCTGTCTTTTTCTGCTGTTTGTGAAATAATTTGTCTTATTTCTTATCTCTTTCAGTCTTCCAGTTCAGTAAAATTCGATTTCAAAACAAAAGCCAGTGTGTGTGCAGTTACCGAAGAGCCTGCAGTTATAATCTGTCTTGACTCCTTTAGTGGGGCCCAGTTGCCTGTCATTGAACAGATTATTGTGATTTTTGGTTCCTCTTTGTCTACACATAAGTGCTAGTAGTATTGTTAGCCTTCAGAGTGAGCTGTTTGTATAGCTTTTTTATGACTGAGAGTTGACAGGATGGAGTCTGCTCCAGGGCTAGGAAGGTATTTTTTTCCCTTTGAAGACTTGTTATATTATGACGTGCTTTAAATTTTTATCTTAAATATTTATAGCCTATATAGAGTTGTGTGATGTGGAAGATGCAACAGTAAGACAGGTGAAAAGAGAACACAAGGCATTATCTGTGTTTTCAGACACATAGATTAGCCTGCACAGGTTTTATGGTTTTTCCTTTTTCAACATTCCCCCTCATTTTTTGTCTGCTGGGATATGTACAGTAAATCCTTTACTTCTCTTCTTCCCTTTTTCTTCTGTGGCACAAGAAGTAAAAGTGCTCTGACTCCTGAGGAGCCGGATTAGACAAATGGATGTGACAGAATCTCTTGTCACCTCTGTCATTCTGCAGTGGTTTTTTGGCCTCGTGGTCACACCACGCATGTGTTATTCATGAGCCAGAGAAATCTTTCAGATTGTTTGCATTTCGACTGACTTCTGATTCTGTAAGTTTCAGGAGAACAAGTTGTTTGGCTAAACAGATGAGTGTGGTACTGTAGATGTTGTCTGTGTGCAAAGATAATTACATCTCTGATCAGTTATGTGAGTGCACATCATCGTTTGCATTCTTCTTGCGATTACATGGAGTTAGACAATTACAATAAACCTTTAGAAACTGTTAGTTTTTTTGAGAAATCGTGGATGAGTAGTTCTAAACTTTTTTTAATTCTTACTGAAACAGTGTGCTGTAAATAATCAGTGAATATGAAGAAGGCATGAAGCTAGAATGTTGTTCCCTCATTTGGACCTTATTTTCTAGATTTTGATACCTATCTTGCCTTACGGGATGGAATTTTCTGTTCATACTTCCTCAACTAGAGCTGTTGAATACGTACTTTTATATTGGTCCAGAGGTAAACTCAGTCATCTTCATGTTGATGTTTTTCATTGAATTATTGGCAACACTGTAGACCGGTTTTATCATGTTGGAGCTCAGCCTGTCACTAATTCATCATCTTTATTAAACAAGAAGTACTGGAAAAAGCAAAATGAAAGATAAGACTGTTTGCCCTAAAAGTAGTGCAGTCTCGCATGGGAGCAGAGATGATGGTGCATTATCAGCTTAAAACAGTGCAGTCATTTAAAAAAAAAAAAGTTTGAACCATTTAAGCATGATGTACTGCTCTATAACCTGCTGTTAAATGTGGACTGTTAAGCTGAGATGACTTCATTGGTGCTGTTTGCTTTCCAATAAGTTCAGACAGGGATTAGCTATTCATTCAGAATTATAAATGCGAACACTTCTTATCTGTATCTTAAAAAAGACTTAAATGGGGATTATTACCAAACGTTCAGGCATCGGAAAGAGGATGGAAACCTCTGTAAGTACACTGCATGAGGCAGTTGTGCACAGGAGTTTTTCCTGGTGTACCTAGGTGTGCTAAATGCTTTGTGTTCGGTGCCAGCAGATCCGGGCTATGAAGGATAGCTGCAGTTTGTGCAAAAAGCTGACCAAATTTAGATTCTGTAAATGTGAACAGGATCTCATTGACTTCGCAGATTGAGTAAGAAAGTCTTGTTCGTAATCATGTTCTCATCTCTCTTGCTGTATACTTTTTGAGATTAACTTTTTTTCTCTTTCTGACTGGAAAGCAGACTGTGGTGATGGCTAATGAAATGCAGTACTGCGCTGCCTATTATTCAAACGTTACCCTGCAGGAGTCAGAACAACTACGGCCTGAGACAAGGCTTTTAATACTCTATTGGGCAGAATTATATTGATGTGAAGGAAGATATTTCTGTGAAGTTAGGTTAAATTAATTGTGAAAGGAAACTGCAGTTTATAGAATACGTGGTGGGTTGTTTTTTTTTTTTTCTTTAAATGGACTTCAAAATGCATCTGTGGTTCTGTTTCTGAGCTACCTGTAGTGCAGCATTGTCTGATGAGTAAAATCCCTGCAGAGAGATCGGTGAGAACCTGCAGGAAATGAGGACAATCTGCATTACAATGCGCTTATTTTCCACTGAATGGTCTCTCCCAGGAAAACCTGCACCTTGTCAGGTTGGTCATCACTGTAACACTGATGGTAGTGTATTCTTCTTTATTAAGAAAAAAGTGCTGCCAAAAATGGATTTTTAGTAACTCTGAAGGGAAAAGTAGCTTGGTTTTTTATTATACTGTGGGGAGCAGTGGGGTTTTTGGATTCCAGTGTTGTACAGCTTCAAGATCTCTGTTAATGCATTCTGAGTTCTTTGTGGGGCTCTGTGTTTAGCATTTAAGCACACTGTGACAGTAACCAGTTCTTCTGCTGTTGCATAATTGAAGTTATCGGTCATTGTTGTGTACTGACTGTTTGGTTGTATTTGCTGTCTCTTTTTTTTCTTTTGCCAAGGGAGATTTCCACAGTTCTGTGGAAAGAGGGCTGTTGTGAATGACGCTCAGGGTGGCAGTGGGTAAATTTCAGAGGAGTGTATTTGAAACAGGACCTCATCTTTGACCTGGTTTCTGTTTTCAGCCACGAGCTGATCAGCAATAATCTCACCTCAGTGTCTCATATCTCATCCGTCTGCTCTCAGGGATTGTATGGAGTATGCTGTGCTGAGAGCTTTCTTGTCTTTTTCTATATATTTGTTTTGCTTGGTATATTTCAGAGAGGAGAGAAAGAAAGGAAGAGGAGAGAGAGAATTCCTTCTGTTTGTGTTTGAAGCTCTTGCCTAAAATAATGTTAAAAACTAGACAGTAAATTGAAGAGATGAACACAATGGTTTTCTTTAACCTTTAGTTTAAAGACTCACTTCCAAGAATGCAGTTTTCTCTCTTGGTTAAGCACTACTCTTCAGTACTTGCAGTGGTTTTAACACTGAGAATATTTGATAGGTCTGAGGTCCCCTTCCAACTTGAATTTAGACTGACTTCATAAAAGGTTTTAGCACTCTTTTCACATGAAACCTAGTTTGATCCAGTTAACTTCATTTTTTTCAATGGACTTTCATCTGTGACTGATGTCCCTAAATACAATTGAGATCTAAGTGGGCGTACAAAACATTTGGTGGAGAGAGCTGAAATGTTTTTGTAAGTCTGTTTATTGTTATTGTGTGAAATAAATTGTCATCTGCCTGCATTTTTTTTCTTATTACCTTAATTAAAAAAAAAAAAATCCCTTAAACAAGTCAGCTAACTGTGAAGTCTTTTAACATCGTCCGTGATTACAAGACTTTAAGGTGGTTGTTCAACTGCCAGGAACCTTTAATAACTTCAGAATCTTAGGTAGAAGCGGCTTGGATGAATTATGTCAATTAAATTTAGTGGTATTTTTCATTATTGGTGAAAATGAGTGGTGTAATAATGAAATATTAACAAGACTTAAGATCTTTATGCTTGCTTAGAAGTCGGTATTTTTCTTCTACACTCCAGTTGTTCAAGGGCAAATTGGAAAAAGATAATCTGGAAGTTGCTCTGATGCATGTAACTGTACCTTTTTCAGATGTAAAGGAGACATCACTGTTTAGATTCGTTTGGGTTTTGGTGTTCTCAAAAAAAATCTCAAAAAAAAAAATAGCCTTTCTTGTCACTGTTGGCATTAGTGCAGATATTAAGTTAATGCTGTGAATGGAAAGCATTATTTAAATATTGAGGTATAGAGTGGGCTGACTTCTTTCCTTTGGTTTAAATGGAGCTTTGTTTTAATGTATCTTTGACCTGGAGGTAGCAAGGGATGGGTGGCTTGTTGGTTTTTTTTTGAATGGAAACTGATTGTGTGCATGCGAGACACAGATGACCCTGCAGTACTGGGAGTAAAGACGTAATAGTCTGGAGGGTGTTGTAGTTGAGATGCAGAAAGCTGCACCACCAGCACAAAGTGTTCAAGAGCTAAATGTAGCAGTGCAGCTAATTCAGAAAAAATATTCATGTGGCATAGGTGTGTTTAAATGCATACAGACTAATTGGTGTTCTTCTGCTTTTAGGCTATGAATATATTGGTTCCCTTCATGTTTAAATATGCAGTAGACAACCTCAACCAGGTATCTGGAAATGTGCTGAACCTGAGCGATGCGCCCAACACGGTCGCAACTGTGGCAACTGCTGTTCTCATAGGCTGTAAGTGGGATTCCCAGATCTGTGGACAGATATTTGCTGGTTTTGCCAAGGTAGAGGGATAGCAGAGCTTCCCACCTTTGCACTGCAAAGCGTCTGAGGTAGTTATTCCATAGTGACTTCTGTGTTGATGTCTTACTTCCAATGTTCTGTGAGTCTACTTCTGACATTCCAGTTATAAAATGAAATAATGCTTATAGAAACAATCACTGATTATAAATTCTACCCTTTGCTTAGACCAGCTGAGAATGGAACTGATCTAAAATGCACATGCGGTGGTTTATAAATGCAAAATAACATTAAGTTTTGGACCAATTAAATATAAATTAGACTTGAAATGAAAAACAAGTTGAAACTATGTAAAGAATGAATCTTATGTTTTCATGCACAAAGAGGATTTGAACAAATTTTTTTTTTTTTTAATTTTTCAATTTTTTTCTAGATGGCATCTCAAGAGCTGGGGCAGCATTATTTAATGAAGCTAGGAATGCAGTATTTGGGAAAGTGGCTCAAAATTCAATCCGAAGGATAGCAAAGAATGTTTTTCTGCATCTTCATAACCTGGATTTAGCATTCCATCTAAGTAGGCAAACTGGAGCTCTGTCAAAAACCATCGACAGAGGAACGAGGGGCATCAGCTTTGTTCTCAGTGCGCTGGTATTTAATTTGGGACCTACCATGTTTGAAGTGGCACTGGTCAGTGGAATTCTGGTGAGTGTGTTCATGAGCTGGAATTGTCTTTGTTTAGTAGTAAAACACTGATTTTTTTTTTTTTTTTTTTTTTTTTTTTTTCTTCTTTTAGCAAAGTCTGCAAAGTATTAGGGAAAGTAATTATTGAATTTACAAGTTGGTTCTGAAAAGAGCTACTCTAAAGGGAAGTAATACACAGTTTTCAAATATAGTTACTGTACTTGAAGTGTTTGGTTATTGGTATGCTAAAATCTAAGTCTTAGTTATGCAGTTTAGACTAAATTAGAAATTAAAAGTTTTGTTTATTTCCCTTTTTTTTTTTGAAGGATTTGAATGTAACAAAGTTAAAAATGTTGTTTATATTGGGTTAAATTTTTATAACCTATGGAAGTTGCAAATTAAGCTAACAGCCAACCAGCCTGAATTTCTTCTGACATTTCTCTCCTTATGTGCTCTGAGATAGGAAAAAAAAAAAGCATTGCAAGCTGTTTCACAAGGCCATTTATTTCTCCTGCTGTCTTCAGCTTTCTATCCAAATCTACATAAGAATCATGAAAGCAAATATTTATGAAAAAAATCGACGTTTATGTTATAGAACAGAAAAAGTAACTTTCTGGTACAGTATTGTAATTCACTAGCTCTTGTGCATCCTTTTTTTTGTTTTTTTTGTCTTACACTGTTCCTGTTCCTTTCCTTTTGAATTTATGCCTGTATTTAGTCTTAAGCTGTTTAAATTGGAGAGGGGCCCCTGGAGCTGAAATATCATGATTTTGGGAAACGGTGAAGCTTTTAAAACTATTACGTGTTGTTGTTTTTTTTTAAATCTTGTAGTATTACAAATGTGGAGCAGAGTTTGCATTAGTTACCTTGGGGACTTTGGGAGCATATGCAGCCTTCACGATAGGAATTACACAGTGGAGGTAAGGCATCCCCTCAGATTCGTTGCTTAGTGTTGCCTCAGCCTGAACTTTTGATTGTATTAAGCCTTCATTTTGCAGGACCAAGTTTCGAATAGAAATGAACAAAGCAGATAATGATGCAGGTAATGCTGCAATTGACTCACTACTGAATTATGAGACTGTGAAGGTAAGATCAAGCATTCCTGCTGGGCTCTTGTTTCTATAAGCCTTAGCAAAGTGAATCGTAAGATTTATCTTTTATAAGGCTACATATTTGGAACTATAGCATATGTTTATAAAAACCATTCATTTGAAGGGTGCTGCTTGGAAGTTGTAGGTAGAGTATCATGAAGGTTGACAGTGGGGCTTTAAAAATCTCTTGGCTGCTAAAGAGTGATAAGTTCTTCCAGACTGAATTGCCTCAACTATCAGTTTATGGGAAGTGTAAGCTTTGTTTTAAAGACTCATTTCCAAAAACTATCTTCTGAACGTCAGTCTGCTACATATTGCCTTCTCAAATGACCATGTGTACTGTTTTCATCACCTGTTGCTATTTTGTACCGTGCCGTTGCAATTTTCACACCAAGGAACAAGTCTCTATTGGATTTTCTGCTGCTTCACTTGAAAAATCATGTGCAGAGTTTTGAAACTGAGCACACCTATGCTGATTTCACACTGCTAGCTGGAGAACTAGAACCAGACAGAAGAAGAAAGCGATAGTGTGACAACTACTGTTCTCTAAACTTTGCAATTGTCAGTGTTACAAGGATGTCCTAGTCCATGTGGAACATTAACTTTCCTTTTAGTATGTAGTAGCTGATGTTTGGCTTTGATGCTGCATACAGTCTGATACGATTGAGAATGTCACATTTATTGTTTTTGGGTATGTTGCAGTATTTCAATAACGAAAAATATGAGGCCCAACGGTATGATGGATTCTTGAAGATGTATGAAAATGCCTCATTGAAGACTACCTCTACTTTAGCTCTCCTGAATTTTGGACAAAGTGCTATATTTAGTGTCGGTTTAACGGCTATCATGGTACTTGCTAGTCAAGGCATTGTTGCAGGTAACTGGCCTGTCTGAAGTTAAAATCAATTTGCTTTTACTTAATTCATTATAGAGATGTTAGTTGATCTGTGGTTGATGTGACAGTCCAGGAGTCTCGTTTCTTGAGAATATTGGAGACTCTTGAAGCATTAATAGTTCTTTCTCTGATTGCCAAAGTTCCAAAACATTTTTAACGAAATCATACCGGTTACTGAGATATGTATACAGTAACCAGTATGATTTTGTTAAAGATGTTTTGGAGATGTATACAGTAACCTTCCAATATAAAATCTGATTTTCTGTGAAGATTTTGTTTGCTATCCAAACTGATTTTAGAAATGGGATAAAAGGACTTGATAGACTTGGTCTTTTTTAGAAAGACCGTGGTGCTTTTAACAAATAACGTCTTGCATCTCCTTGTTCTCTCATATCCATTTGGTCTGAAGGCAGCCTGTCTGTTGGAGATCTAGTAATGGTGAATGGACTGCTGTTCCAGCTTTCTCTTCCCCTGAACTTCCTGGGAACAGTGTACAGAGAGACAAGACAAGCCCTTATCGATATGAATACCTTGTTTACCCTTCTCAGTGTAGATACCAAAATCAAAGTAAGTAGTAGCTTCTTTTGCTTTAAAGTATATGGATGTGTAGCAGGGGTGTTTTCTAGCAACACTGTCATTTCACTCTGTTTGTTACCTTTCAGGTTTAATTTCTATTCAAGAAAGAGATATTGGGGAAGGATGCTGTTCTGTATCCTCTTTAAGTGCAGCTAGTGCTATAGCAGCTGCTGCTTTTTTTTTTTTTTTTTTTTTTAAATTGCAGAACCTTTTAGTGACATCAAAAGTTGCTTTGTGGAAGCTGTGTTTGTACTGGGTTTTAATTTAAGTATTCGCGCATTGTGCTTACATTTTTATTTGTAATTAATGATGCAGAATTTATTACTGCAGAAGAAGTTGTGAAGCAGAGCGTTTACAACATAAACTTTTGCCTTCTTTGGAGAAAAGGAGGAACAAACCGACATTACTTTGGTGGCTGAATATAATTACTTTAAACATATCCGAGCTAGAGTGTCTGTTTGCCTTTTCCTAAGCTAGGAGATTGACTGTTAGTTAAGCTTGTTGAACTGCTTGAGATACTTCCTGGGCAGCATATAAAGCAGCACTCTTCTTTTAATAGGACAAAGAACTGGCTCCACCCCTGCAGATCACACCACAGACGGCTACTATCGCCTTTGATAATGTGCATTTTGAATACCTTGAGGGGCAGAAAATCCTTGCTGGAGTGTCTTTTGAAGTTCCTGCGGGAAAGAAAGTGGCCATTGTAGGAGGTAGTGGGTCAGGGTGGGTAAATGGACTAAATACGAAATTCTGCATCATTGATTGGCGTTTTTTAAATGTGTTCTTGTTTTGGTTTTTATTGTTTGTGTTTGTGGCAGTGTTTTGATTGGAGATTATAAGTGACAAACATGGAGCGTAACATCAGCTTCAATCCTTTTCAATTTCAGGAAAAGCACAATTGTGAGATTACTATTTCGTTTCTATGAACCCCAGAAAGGAAACATCTATGTTGCTGGACAGAATATACAAGATGTCAGTTTGGAAAGCCTGAGAAAGGCAATAGGAGTTGTACCTCAGGTATAACATCTTTTGTGGGAATGACTGTTTACCTGTGTTAATAGTGGTAGGACAAGGGGAAATGGTTTTAAACTAAGGTGGGACATTTAGGTTAGATACTAGGAAGAAATTTTTCACTGAGAAGATAGTGAAGCACTGGAACAGAACACAGCCCAGAGAGTCTGTGGATGCCCCATCCCTGGAGGCATTCAAGGCCAGGCTGGATGTGGCTCTGGGCAGCCACATCAGGGTGATTGGCAACCCTGCACATAGCAGGGAGGATGAAACTAGATGATCATTGCGGTCCTTTTCAACCCAGGCCATTCTATGATTCTATGATAGTTCTTCCCAAATAGCCTATCGTAATGGTAATTCTCACAGTGGTATTGTCTAGTTCCTTTGAAAACCTCTCTGCTTTTTTTTTTTTTTTCCCTGGAAATATTGCAACATTTTCCTGTGCATCATTGTATAGACCCAATTCCAGAAATGAGTTGAAGCTTCTTAGAGCTGCAAATTTCCCCAAAATTTCATTAGGCTTTCTGGAAAAATACAGATTACTCAGTACTTATTTCTTTCATGGATGTCGGGAAGTTTCTTGGACTATCATTCATGCTTTCTTGTTTAAATGCTTTTTCCACGTTGTAGGATGCTGTTCTGTTCCATAATACTATCTATTACAATCTGCTCTATGGAAATATCAGTGCTACACCAGAAGAGGTGTATGCGGTCGCCAAGTTTGCAGGAATCCATGATGCTATCCTTCGAATGCCTAATGGTTACAACACACAGGTTGGTGAACGAGGACTCAAGCTCTCTGGTAGGTCATTTAGTGTGCATGTTCATTTGCATCCCTTCTGTTACCTCGAAGGTCAATGCATAACTTATTCCTCAGTCACAGCTGCTTTTAGCTTATTTACATAATAATATGAATGCAGAGCTAGAACATTAAGACGAAAATCCATGGTTTGGGCAACTGTAGTCTACTTGATACTTAAAAGAAGGCATTTTCAGGGGCTAGTATTAAATGAGTTGATATATAAGCATGTAGAATTCATCTAAGCAGAAAAGTACCGGTCTTGTAATGTGTTTGGATAGTGGAATGCGTGCAAATAGAATTGGGAACTTTGTGTGCTTTGCATGTTAAAGGCTTATCTAAGTGCATAGACCTTCCCCATTTGAATTCTTAAATTGAAACTTCTAGCAGCTGGAAGTGAGATTTTTTTACTTCTGCTGTTATAATGCTGTGGGATATGTTGCTGTTACAACGTAGTAGCTTTGCAGCCTGTTAACAGTTGGAAGTGCCTTCATGTCTTACTGTTTTGAACTGTATCTGAAACAACATGGAAATGATGTCTGTGTATCTTTGAGCTATGGATTGATATGATGTGACCTTAGTTCTGAAGTTTAGGTTGTCCAAGTTCCTCTGTAGCTGCGTATGCACCCGTATAAAGTAGCACAACCATACGGTTTAGAACAACAGTATCACAACCTGGCTTTGCTTCTTGTTTTTTTAAAAATGCTTGAAGTTTTTTAGATAACTCTGAGTTCACCAAAAAATGTCTGGGAGGATTTTGACAGGATAGCATGACACCGAGTTGTGTGCAGGGAGTAGAAACTTAGAAAATATCTCCTGAGCAGAGGCCACTTTGCTGTGGGGACGTGAAGAATGTGTCTTAAATAACTCCTAAGTACACAGCTTTACTTCATAGCAAACGTGTAAGCTTGTGTGGCAGAGCTGGTTAATTTTCTTCCACCTCAAGACACAGCATAAGGGTCAACCATTCCCATTTGCATATAGGATGGAGCAGCGGTGTGAGACTGTTCGGCTCTGTTGGGAATGAGGTATGGCCCTATAGAGAAGATGGGTCAGGTCTGTCTCTGTGAGTTTGGACGTTCCAAGGTACTGAGGGTGTTCAGGAACAATGCTGGCTCTTCAGAGGATGTGGAACTGGTTAGGCATGGTGGGCTCAGAGGTAGGGGCCCAGGAGCAGGACAGGTTCTGGCAGCGATGCTGCCTCTTGCAAAGAAAGCAAGCTCTGTGTGGCTTTTTCTTACTCTGCAGCTGCTGCAGTCTTGGTTTCTCTGAAACAGGATCGGAGGTCACATTCTGTATCCAGAAAGTACGTGCAGGAGAAAGCATGCACATCAGTGAAAAGACATACGGGGAAGGTTAGAAGGGAAATAAAATGTGAAGTACAAATCTGGATGAGTGAGTAGAAGATATAAAATAGATACTGGCTGAACTGCAGAGGACAGTGATAATGATGAAAGGTTTGTCCTGCTGCCTGTCTCCCAAAAGCAGTAATTTCTAGAAGATTTGACCAACTACATGTTTGGAATGTCTTGTGGTTTACACAGAAATATAGTAGCTTGGGCTTCTTCAAATAGAATGCATTTCGGTGTTTTTTAGTAGATAGAGCTGTAGCAATCCCAGACACAAAACTGTGAGCAAAACAAAACACTGCAACAGCCCTGAGTGTGAATGGAGAAGAATGTGAAACAAGTCTGCATTCTGCTAATGTAAAGAAAGACCTTGGATTTTGTTATCATTGTGTGACTTTCAATCATGTTTAAAACTCACAGCTTGTCAATATCTGTGCTTTAAAAGAGAGAGAGAGAGAGAGCACATTAAAATAGACTGAGCAAACTGTACAGTTCTATTTGCTACTGAGTTCTGCTGAAGCCAGATAAAATTTGAACTGCGGGATTATTATCAGCCTTTTAAATGGTTTGTTAAAGCATGTTCTCTTCTAATAGGTATGGAGCATTAACAAGAATGTAATTATATTAAATGGAATATTTCACAGTCTTGAATGAAACAATGGAGGACAAATACATGAATGTGAATGTTTGTATTGCATGCCAAATGTTTTGCAAATTTTAAGCTCTCAAATGCACCTGTTTTCCTGTCTGTAAAACTTGTCCCAAGTTATTCTTGGGTAAATGCTGTCTGTAAGAGTTGTAAAGGAAGGAAACAAGTTTGAAAATTGGTCATATCAAAAACCAAAAGGCGGTAGATTGCATAATGAAGGTGGTTTTCAGTACTGTGCTAATTGTGTTCCTAAATGGAAATTTGCCTGTTAAAGCTGTTGGGTTTGGCCATAGAGGACTAGAAAGATAGATGAACTTGAAGGAGAGAACTGAAGGAGTCAGAAATACACATCCAAGATGTGTGGAATAAAACACAGCAGGCATGATCAGAGTATGGTTAATTTGTGAGGGAAAATGGGATGTATATTTGTTTGTATAACACATGAGGTATTAGCTTAGAGTAGGCAAATTGGTGCATGCCCATTGGTGTGTGGAGTAAGTTACCATGCACTGCCATTATTAGTTCTCTGTGTGAGACTTTTGCCTTGTAGCGTGTATGAAACAGTCTGATGTTCTTTTCTAAGACTGTAAGCCATGTTGAACCACTTTAGATTTACCAGAGTGTGAGAACTTGTGTGTTACCTTACACAACCTATGCACAGACCTTCATCAGTAGCAGCTACGATCTATACTGAAAAAATGAAACAAAACAACAAAACAGTCATGTTTGCTGTTGAGTCTGGAATATCCTGCAGGTCATAGTTATAACTTCATTTTTTTCCCTCTTCCTTCCCTCTCCCCGCTTTATTTAGGAGGAGAAAAGCAAAGAGTTGCAATTGCTAGAGCAATGTTAAAGGAACCACATATTTTTCTCTATGATGAAGCGACATCATCTTTAGATTCAATTACAGAAGAGGTAAATTGGGATAAAGAAATGTAAAGCTTGAGTGGTATAACGATGTCTGATTCTGATGCTTTTTCCTTGTCTGTTCCCTCTCAGAAAGAATTCTGTTCTTACTGTCAGACCGCTGAAATTAGTTTTCCTAGGGTTGCTGTGAAGAGATCCTATGCTTGGTCCCTTTTCTTAAAGGCCAGAGCAGAGGTGTCTCTGCGCATCTGGAGACATAGTGAAAGGATATCAGCTGTATCTCTTCTTGTATACCTTCTGTTTTATGCTGTTGAAGTCTTATTCACCATTAAACATTCCTTTCTCGATGCCATTATGGATACCCAGTGTGGCCGGGGACTATGTGTGAAGCTTTCCAGTTCATGTTAAAAGCTGTTCAGATGACGTTTAGCATTCAGTACAATCATCTTATAAATAATTGTGACGTAGTGCAGAGCAGAAACTCTTGTTTGTTGTGCAGCATCTTTCTGAGATGCAAATCAGGTAGGCGTAACCTGCAGCGCTGGTATTAATTTGTATTCATTTCACAGGAAGGGCTGTGAAACATCAGAGTGTTGTGACATAGATGTCATGACACTACCACGGTAACTGCATCAGGCTTCATAACTACATCTTTGCTTAAACACACAACTCTCAGCACCAGCAGTAATTTCACAAACTGTCATCAGAAACTAGAGCTAGAGCTGTGTTTGTGTTCACTTATGCAAATTATTGAGCGAATTTATTGACGTATAATCACTAAATTACTTTCATTTTCCAGGTGTAAGGAAATCAGAGTACTAACTGTACACCTATATAGCACCTCATTCAAATATAGTACAGCTTCCTCATTGGATGAGAAACATTCGTAACATATGCAATTCTGCTTGGTTCTTTCTTTCATTTTCTCATGTTTATGGCAAGAATCATAAAGCTGAAAGCTTTGCAGCAAAGCTGCACTTTAAAGACATCCAATGAAAATGAATCATTTCAATTGGAATGTTTTCCCTGCAAAATGCTTGCCTTTGTCAGAAATAAGTGAGCATTTCACTTACTGTAGTGGGGACACAAACTCCCCAGTTGGTGCTGCTTGCATCTGAGTGCAGTTTGGAATGGAACACAGTTGAGCAGTCCTGAGGTATATCTATGTTGACATGGTATTGAGAGGTTTTTTTTTTCCTTAAACTTTCCTTAATTGGAAAGTCGTTTTTATTATTGTCTTTTCTGCTAATTATGTTGGTTTCGTAGCATGGTTACGCAGCAGAGCTTTTCCTGAAATCAAGTAAAGCTTTGTACTGTGGGATATCTGCATTATTTTTTTTGTGAGTGAAGGCTTTTTTTGTTCTTTTTCCTCTTCCATTCCTCATGTATGAGGACTTTATTAGACTTCATTTTGTGCTTGGACTCTTTCTATTTCTTCTGTAGGTAAACCGTAGCTCTTTCTTATTGGTATAGCATTAGATGTATTAGAGGAGTTTCTCAATGTTCATTTTCAGTAACTTGTGTATTTCCAGATTTTATTTCTTCTATACAGTCTAGGAGCATGTAAAAGTATGTCTGTATTTTAATCTTACAGAATATTCTCAGTGCTATGAAGGATGTGGTGAGACACCGGACGTCAGTTTTCATTGCCCACCGCCTGTCAACAGTGGTTGATGCAGATGAAATCATTGTGCTGGATAAGGTGAGGCTGGTGCTGGCAACTGTCATTCCCCCATAATCTCAGTTGTCATTTTAGAGGGTTGGTGTCCATTGTGAAATACCAACCTCTGCCAAGCTACTGAGGAGTCTTTCTGTGGAGATGAGCCATGTTGGGAAAATCCAGCTCTTTGCAACTGACAGTTTTAGTTACAGAAACTTGCATGTTCAGCTCTTCTATGTTGCATGCATTTGTTTCATTTGCATTTTAGTTACACGTTCTTTATGTGGATTCTGGCAAATTTCACTTGATGCTTTGGGACTGGCTTAATGTTACGTGTTTCTAATCAGATTTATTACATGCTGCTGTCAGATCAGGGGAACCCATTATGAAACCAATTTATGCTTTATTCTCATTACTCAGTGAGTGCCAGTTTTTTCAAATAGATTCATTATTTTTTTTCATTTCAAGGGCAAAAGAGAGTCCTATGTGTTCTGTTTCCATGCAGATAAAGCTGTTTAGGATTGTTCAATCTAATTGTTGCAAATCTCAACCCCATTCTCTATTGTTCCTGCAGAAAACTGTAATTATTCCTTTCCTGTATGCTTCCCTTCTGTGAAAAGTTTCAATATTTGATCTACTAATACCACTGTTCAGCCTCTGCTTTATATTCACTCCGTCCTATGTTCATTTTCTTCAGTTGCCTGTAACTGGATATAGATATATAAAGGATATTTCTGCATTCTTTTATTTCAGTTGCTATGTATATATATATATATATATATATATCACAAGCTATATATATATATATATAGCTTGTGACCACAGATGTGTTTAGAGACAAAAATGTGTGTATCTAGAAGAAAATAAATCATTCCTGCAGTGCATTAGATGATTTCATGGAGAATTAGAACAAAATGTTATGTGAGGGTCACATTTGTGATTATTTTTGCTGTACAAACCTCAGCTTCACATGAATCTTAAAGTGAAGTAGTGGAACTCATTTATAATACTTTTTTAATTTGTTTTTTTCCACTTTGGTTTTTTTTGGCTGTTGCTGAAAGAGCTTTTTCTGAGGTGCATCCTTGGTGTAACTGCACGTTACTACATCTTGCAATCGTGTTTTAGCATGTAACAAGGCAGTCTCCAACTTTTTGTTTTCAATGCAAGTTTTTCACAGCTTCTGAAGAAGTGTTTTGTGCTACCCTGTAACTGTTAAATTAAAAATAAAAGCACAACCTAGAGCTGTAAAACAGCTAGGGTGCTCACTTTCATGAATGATTTTAGTGTGATAGAGATTGTAAATGAGTAAGGCAGTGTGGTGCATTACTTTTCAGTTGGCAGTGCCTCAGGAGGCAGCACTGGTGCTCAGCAGAAAGTTGCCTCTTGCCCCAGCTTGATGGACAAGTGCTGTGCTCATTCAGTGACTGAAATGAGGTGATGAGGTGACCGTGGCTGTTTTTGCTTAGCTGTGCAAGTATTGCATTACGACTTGAGTGTCTTTGCCTACATAAAATCAGAATCATTTTTAAGTGAGTAAACAAACACTACTAATTATATTGATCTCCATGCTGCAGAGCCAAATGGAGAAGATAAATTTCTAGGGATTGTTCGAGGTTTATTGGGAAAAAATAAAGTAAAATAAAAATTAATCATTGAAAAGCCCAGTCTCTGCTACAGTGAACTCTCTAAGTTAACCACTCCGTTTTAAAAAGAAATCCTGCAGTTATGTTGGTCAAGTGTGTATTTGTTCAGATTCCACCAGCACGACTAGTAATAAAAGTGACAAGACCCAATTTTGTTTCCCAGCATGTTCATCAGCTGCTGTCACAAGGAGGTAGATTTAATTGTAAATCAGGATTTGGAACTAACACAAAATCCATGTAGCTGTCTTTTCCCAAAAGAAAGAATAGCTGGAGAACGAATACATTATTTTAATTTGAAGTCAGCAAATGTAAATGTATCTTTCAAATCAGAAAGATAAGAGTCAGATTGGCGGGGCTGGGGTTTTTTGTGTTTTTTTCTAGAGAGCACTGTTGCTTCAATGGCTGTAGGATTTGAATTTTCCCCAACTCTTCCTTCCTATTTCCATGATGATAGTCAATAAATCAGCTTTGCTCTTCAAAACAAAGAGCACAGATGAACTAAATGCACACAGTTTTCATGATGGCACTTAAAATGACAGAAGCAACTGAGCACCCATCTAAAAGCACCATTTATGCTAGTTGTCTCTAGGATTTGATTTTAAATGCTTTCTGCTTATTAGCACAATTCCCTCTCTGCATGCTCTTTTCTCTTAGCTTCAACGTAGCTTATTTCTTACCATGCCAAGACAATTACCTGTTTATTTTGTTAGGTTTGTGAGCCTTTTTCTGGTAGCAGTTGATCACACTGTTCCTCTTACACAGTGTTCTGTGCTTTTTTAAAATAGCACTTTCAGTTTAGATAGTAAACTTTCTCATGTTGGTGGGCTTTGAATTTTGTCCAGGTGGGCAGAAGACATCTGCACTCCTGCTTGAGAAGAGCTCAGCTCCTTGTTTTCAGCACACAGCATAACAACATGTATTTCAGTGCACACGCATTCAGCTTTTCAGTGCTGTCCCTGCTTCTCCTAATTAAGAATTATTGTAAAATTTTGGCCCGAGTGTTGGCAGTGTTTGTACTCCTAAAGGTCTGGCAGTACTGTTCCTCACTCACTCCCATTCTTTTGCAGGGTAAAGTTGCAGAACGTGGTAGACATGCAGACCTGCTTGCAAGTCCTAGCACTCTCTATTATGAAATGTGGCATACGCAGAGCAGCAAAGTACTGAACAGTCATAATGATCCGAACTGGGGAGAGAGAAATAACCAGATGTCTAAAGAGGAGGAAAGGAAGAAACTGCAAGAAGAAATTATCAATAGTGTGAAAGGCTGTGGAAACTGTTCGTGCTAAGTATGATTCTGGATTAATCTTTTCTACACAACATAAACAGTGACATGCGGCTCTTGTTTGGTTTTTTTAAGTCACCATTCAAAAACCTCCTGGGTTTTGCAGTTTTTGGTTTTTACAGTTACTCTGAGGGGCGTAATTTCAACCAAAGGAGTTGTAATTCTGCATCTTTACAAAACTAAAATTCATTGGCATCTGTAAGAGCAAAGCTTTTTCATAAACTTTAAATGTCTCAACTAAGAGTGTATTTTATGGCAGTTTGTAGGCATTGGTCAGATCCCTTGGTAGATGCTCAAGATGGATTATTAAATTGCAAACAGGCTTGTCCTTGATTTACGTTATTTCTGAATGTCGTTGATTGATAAATGTCATGTTTTAATTGGGCTAAGTTGAACTCAGTTGCTGCTGAGGAAGATGCAGGTTGAATTCTTGAGTGGTGGTCTAGTAGGAAATCCTTCCTGTAAAGAATAAGAAAAGCATCAACAAAATATTCAAAGTTTTTAGTAGGAACTGAAGCACTGGAATAATCCACCTCAGAAAACAGCTGTGCTACTAGACCATCAGGAAATGTATTCCTTCAAAAGAGAATTCAGTGTTTTTAAGAGCTATCAAAAATCTAGGATTGACAAATGATCATGTCACTTCATGGAAAGCATGCAAAATATTGTCTGCAAATATAAAGAATCTGAACCTTCCCTTTTATTTAAATGAAAAGCAGAAGTCCAAGATCAGGATTCTTTATCCTCAACATCTGCTTGAGTAGGCAAAGCAGAATGCAGTTCTCTTTTTCACTTCAGTCATGGCATTAGGGAGCGGCTGGCACTCAGTAAGAACTGTCAGGAATTTCTGTTGTCACTGGTGGGAGAAAATGACCTGGATAATGTTGGAAGTGTTGCAGTCATCTCCAGACCTCAATAGTCAGAACTTCTTCGGTGTCAAGAAAACCTCAGTCTTTGTGATTCCTGGGACGCTACAGGATTGTGGCTTTAGGCCTTATCTCTCCAGGCATGTTGACCATGTTTATTTTTTACTAGCTACTCTCCTATAATTCCTTTTTTGCTTTTTTTTTTTTTAAATCCTTCTCTTGGATGCTGCAAAACAACTTATTTTTTTCTAAGAAATTACACCAGTGTAATTACATTCATATAATTGTGTTAGTAAAATTATGCAAAATTTCTCAGTATGGGTACTTGCAAAGCACTGAATTTTGATGCTGCTTGAAGTTTATTTCTGAATAGTGTTTATTCTTTTGTATTAAGCCCTTCTTTGAAACCAAATACAGGAACAGCATCTTAAAGGAACTGAAACCTTTGTTATCTTTTCTGCTAGTCACTCATTTTCTCTCTATTAAAATGATGGGGGGAAAAGAATCTGTTATCAATCAGCAGTTTAAAACAATTTTAAGATTGTATCAAATGCAAAGACTCTTATTTTCATACTTGGAGTCCAGAAGCAAAATGGAGCCTTATTAATGAATTGACAGTTCAGAATTCCAGTAGCTTATCATTTTATTTTCACCAGGTTTTTTATTTTAATCTATTTTTAGTTTCTAACAGCAGTGTGGCTGATTTATAAAGGTGAAGTTTTGGAAATGTCAGAGGTCTGAAGGAAGTGTTTTTTTACTTTTTTTTTTCTTGATGGACAGTTTCGCGTATTGCAGGGCTTAGATGGTCTATTAGTTGATTGAAGAGAGCACAGAAGCAAGCACTAGCATCTAAACAAAGTCTGAACCCAAAGCCATTTTAATGCCAAATTTGATTGTGAAGGTAAGTTTTCAGGTGAGCAAGTGATTATAGAAGGCCCATGTGTTTTGTGATCACTGGGGATGGAGTCTGCAAGCACACCAAGAATTTTAGTATTACATGTTGGGGATGAGGATTGATATCAGATGGTAAATACGAGAAGTGGTCAAGGCTTTATTTAAACTGGCAGTGGGTTTGTCACAGCTGTGAGGCTATTGCCTGTCCCTGCCATCACTTTTTATGCCAGCCCATGTGCTGCCGCTCGTGAGACGTTAAGCAGAGCTCTTAACAAAGGTGTTTCCTGAGAGAGGATGGTATCACAGAGTACTTGTTGGGAAGAGTTTTGCAGTGAGATTTGGAGATATCTGAAAACTTCCTGGCTTTGAGTGATGTGCTTGTCTGTCTGCTTTTAAGGCACAGGTTACAAAAATGTGTTTTCCCATTGTAAATTTGCTAACAGCGCACAAGAAATGGAAGAAAAAAACCCCTACTGGTTTAAAAAAAAAAAAAAGTTCCTCCTGATTGCCTTCCCAAGTTAAATGGCAGAAAAACTCATAGAGCTGTAAATGAGCGAATGAGGATTCTCGGGCATTGGCAATTTTGCACAATCCTATCAGAGGGATGCTGGAGTAAAACAGTGAGTGACCTGCATCTTGTGAGCAGTGGGATCGGGGAGGTGGTAGCAGTACTTTGTGGACCTATGCTAGAAGGTAAAACTTCTGCTCAGACCTCTTTGTTTAGGATTTTCATTCATGTACAATGGCTCCAAAATGTCACCATTCTAAGCAGGCATTTAGAACACAATGGTGGGAGAGTCCTGGCTTTGGAGGCTGACTGTAGTTCTCTGACTGTCAAGATGGCATATGATATTTCTTTAAAAAGCTTTACAATTTCTACAGGAAATGGATACAACCTCTGAACTTTGGTAATCCCGCTTTTCTGTCACCCTTTTTCTGTCACTTGGAACATTGCTTTTCTAAATAGAAGCTTTTCAAGTTCTTGAAATGTTCCCAGACTTCCAGATGTTTTGTTTTTCAAAATTTAAGTTGCCTTCTCCCACTGTAAGATCTTCATTTGTGTTTTTAGAGTGAAAAAAAAAAAAGTTTTTTCATCTTTTTTTCCCGCATTTCTTTCAGAAAGAGAGAATGTTTGTGTAAAATTGGGCATAAAAACAAACTGCTTTTGCAGTGGATAATCGTCTATTAACTATAAACTTACCAATTTCATTTGAATTCCTGTGCTTGAGCTTCTAAGGACAATACTCTTTTTGGCTATTCTTACTCCAGGTGAGCAAGCTAATTAATGGTTGGTGGAGAGGTAATTTTGTTTTGGTTGTCCGAAATGGAGATTCATAACTCCTGGCAGATGATCCCTCAGTTTCTTCTCAACAGTGCTATTATATGGATTAGTAGTTACCAAATCTCTTAAAATTTAGTTTTTAAATTATGTTTAAATCTCCTTTTGGAACAGGAGTGTAAAATAGATATTGTACAGTAAGCTGATACATATGCAAAAAGAACTAGCTTAAGATCATATGGTGTAAAAATCCTGATGGAAGACTTCTTACCTTGACTCCTGTTGTTTGTCTGTGTGTAGATAATTGTTATTGAATAAAGGATTTATCTTTGTGAATAGAAATGGTTGTCCTGGTAAAATTATTTAAATAACAGCATTGGCAGTGTGGTTCTTCCACCCAGAAAGGGAAGCTCCAAACTGACCCTTTTAGCCAATTGGCAGTTGTTTGCAGTGCTTGGAACTGACAGTGAAAATGATAACAGATTATAGGGCTGTGTGCTAGCATAAGGCAAAGTGTTGCAGATAATCAATCAGGAAGGTGAATTTGTATAGTACATACAAATCCTGTTTCCCTGGGCTTTATAGCCTTTTAAAGTTCAGTGTACTGAGTTGCAGGATCTCTCTACAGCTCCCTGGAAGGAGACTGTTGGCAGAGGGGGGGTTGGCCTCTTCTCCCAGGTAACAGTAGTAGGAAAGGCCTCGAGTTGTGCCTGGGGGAGGTTTGGGTTGGGAATTAGGAAGAACAGAGTGGTGAGGCACTGACACAGGCTGCCCAGCGAGGTGGTGGAGTCACCGTCCCTGGAGGTGTTAAGGAAGGGGTCAGCGTGGCACTGAGGGATGAGGTTAGTGGGTCAGATTGGTGGTAGGTGGGTGGTTGGGCTGGATGGTCTTAGTGGTCGTGTCCAACTGTAGGGATTTTATGAAGGGCACTCGTGTTAGATGCAGCATGCTGGTGAGGTGGAAGTTGCTGAAAAGCTCGCCTGTTTTCTTTCTTAAACATACATTTGTAAAAACACAGCATAGTGAACTGTTTTACTCCCTTAGCACTGAACTAGAGAGCATTAGAGCTAGATCTGTTTTAAGAAATTGCCTGAGCCCGCTTTTGAAGTGACAATGTGTCTAATTTCTGACTGGATTTCATGTTACGTAACTCAAGTTTCTTACTGTGAAACGGGAGAGGGAAATGTCATTTGTGTAGCTTTGATAGTTCTTGTAATGTATCTGCACTGCGTGGATGTGAGCTGCTGTAACCACTGGTCCTGTGTTGTTCTGTCTCAAAATGATGTCACTGAGCACTGTGTGGCCATAAGGAAGGGACATGAGATCCTGGAGCAGGCTGCTTTGGTCATGTGTGACTGGATGAATTTCCAACTGTTGTTTCTGAGGGTTCACTTGCTTCTTTTTGACTCTTTTAACAGTCCTTTGCAGGAATGCTGTATAAATGCTTACTGACAAGAAAAGAAGTCATTAATGAAAGAGCTGTAATGGGAGTATGTTGTTTTTCTTCACGTGTACATCTAACTTCTGTTAGTGCTGACTTCTATTAGTTGCATGCGTGCATCAAGGAAAACAGTAATTACAAATCTAGCGTTTTCTAATTTTCACATAAATTAGGAATCATTTTGAGGTTACCATGCTCATTTAACATCCCATCTGTGTTCACACAATGGTTGCAGAACTGACAGTTTAGTATTCTATTGATTATCTAATGTTTCACAGCGGGGAAAAATGTAACGCGACGTTTATTTTGGGTAGTCAGGCATCTAAACACCCTTCCCTGCCTTCAGCCCTGACTTCTGCTGGAGGGTTGGCTTCAGCCAGTGTGCAGGACAGGAGATCCGATGGCAGCTGGATGTGTTTATGGCAGCACACCAATGTGTTTGTTGTACCTCTGGAAGGAGCCACAGCATCTTTGTGAAATAATGATTTAAAGTGGTGTGAAGTGATTTGGCAGAACTCTGCCATACAGTTGTCTTATCATTTCAATGACAGTTTCATTAATGAGAGAGGTCAATTGTGAAGTCTGAGCATCCTGTAGAACTGAAATTCTAGAATGTGGGTGCTACGTTACAGCACTGCTAAATAATTATTATTTATTTTAGAAAATCCTCAGGTCAGTGCCTGAAAAAAATGTATTTAAAATCCCTATTATGGTTTTTGATCAATTTGTGCAGGTGTTGAAACAAAACTCGGGGAAAAGACACAAGCAGCATGGAAGCTCAAAGCAACCTTGTGATCCTAAAAGGAAAGCTCTAAGGCCAACCCAGCATCCTGTTCCCTTTTGTCTCCCACCAGGGCACTGCCAGAGCCCCACAGTGGTGCTTGAAGTGAGAAACAGTCCTCTGCAAGCTGGCCTGCCTGACCCCAGGTCACCGGTCATAGGTACCCTGTGGGAGCAGTGCTGTATACAAAGTACTGCTGCGTGTTGTCCTGTGGCTGTGTAAGGAAGGAGCCTACAACGCCATCAGACGCAAAGTGCTTTTCTAGATGGCATTTGGTCAACCTGTCAGGGTCCTTGTTACCCCAAATATGCTCTTTATGCTGGCAGGCTGCCTGCTAGGCCACGTAGCTTCCTATGTTGACTTGAAGGCATGTCCCAGAGGTGAATTATGATTAACTGTCTTAAACAGCTGAGCTGTGGTGAAAGTAGGGCTGATGGAATTCAGCCTATGAATTAACCGAGCTCCTATACATGGCTACAATGTAATCACAACTTTAGACATATTAGTGCTTCGTTGTATGATCTCCTTAAGACGTGCCTGTTGTGCTAAGTTGCACAGTAGGTATTTTATTTGAGGGGGAAAAAAAGTAAGGCAGTTGTGTCTTAAGACAGAATTTAAAATAGCATCTCTGTTGTTGAAAGACTAATGTGACATCTCAGCTCCCCCATATTTCATTTCCAGTTTTCAATGCTTTGTAGCCCTTTATAAAATTGTCAAGTAAAGCATTTATGTCACACCAACTTAAAATGTGTCTTGTAAAGCTATCAGCCTTATCCTGGAGAGTAGAGGGGGGAAAAGAAGAGATTTTCTTTCCTTTCATTATGGAGAGGAAGAAACAGGCTGGAACACAGTATATCAGCTTGTACTGTGTCCTTTGAATGCATTGTAAAGTGCTCTACAAGTGTCATCTGAGGATTTTACTGGCCTTGTGCGAGCACCAATACGTGTTCTGAAACACGGAGGTTGAAAAGATGAAAAGTTTTCATTTTAAGCTAGTTGCAGCAAATGGAATGTGAAGGTCAGTCTGTAATTAGGAATGAGCGTTTCATGTGCAGTTGATGCATGAATTATGTGAAGGGCTATGCTGCTTTCTCCTGAAATGGAAATACGTGTTCAGGTATTCTCACGTGAGTGTAAAAATCTTCATTTCTTCGGTGATTTGAAAAAAAGCCAGGCTTTTTAAGAAGACAAACGATAATAGTAATGAAAAAAGAGCTTATTTAGAAGGAAAAGCAGGGGATGTTTTATAGTAATGCGTAGTGTTTGCAGAATTTGTACATGGTAATGAGTGACATGAGCTGCTGATGCTATGAAGTGATTGAAGTAATATCAGATATTTGACAGGATGTAAGAAGGAGAGGACAAAGCAGAGGTATTTTAGGCTGCTGTATTTCTTTCTGTCCTGTGCAGAATTCACCTGGGTTTATTTCAAAGCCTGTGTGGGGATGTTGAGCTGGTAATGGATTTTGGGTGTTTGGACCAGAAAAATACACACCAAACTGGGACTAATGACAATCCCACAGTCTCAGCAGAAAAGAAGTTCTATGGAGCAGCTTATTAAATCTTTGAAAGTTAACAAAGGAACTGAAGTGCTGAGTAGTAATATATTAGTACTTACATCAGGGAGCTGACGCGTGAAGTAGATGAATGTCGCGTGTCTTTGGCTAGCTCTCCCACATAGCAGGTGTCACAGATGTCTGTCCACTGACGAGGGAGAGAGACTTTGGCAGACTTCAGACTTTGAAATGGTTCAATTTAAACTCCTGCGTATCTATAATGTAGAAAGAGAGTGTGTATGTACCTGAGAATGGCTTAAAGCTGGGAAGGAGTCGAAAAGATGGGTAACCTGTAAAATTGTACTGTGGAACTCCTGAAGTTTACCTTTGAGGGTGTGGAGGGAATCAATTTGCAGTCAGTGGTATTCAGTGTGTGTGCCGCACAGAGTGACTCCAGTGCAGTTACTGAGAACACCCCTTGCCTGAGCAAACAAGGTTTCTGAACTTTTTAGGGTAAAAATAATGACCCTATGTTGGACAGAGCAGTAATGCTTTTTTTGTGTGTGTGTTTTACAGTATTTAAATATAAATGGCTCACGAAGAGAAACTCGGAGGGGCATTACTGGAGAGCAGTGGGGAGGAGGGTTTCCTAAAACCAACTGGGGGTTGGACTCGATGATCTCTGGAGGTCCCTTCCAACCCCTACAATTCTGTGATTCTGTGAAAACTGATTCCTTAACGGCTGGTCTTGGCCTCGAGTTTTCCTTGCAGCCTCTTAAACGTTACTTTGCTCTGTTACCTCTTCTCCCTTTGCTATCCCCATAGCTGGACTAGAATTCTCCTATCATTCCCTCTTAAAGGAATTCCTGTCTGTGAGCTTGAGGAAACATGACCAGCTTGTCACATAGGGCCGGGCTTTTTCTCTCACGTGCTGCTTTCAAAGGAACTTAGTGGGTGACCTGTGCAGTGGGATGCTGCACAACGAAGGCCCTGGTGCTGCAGTCAGATCTCTTGGGCAGCAGCTGTCCTGCCAGGAGGGGTTTGCTTCACCGAGTGCTGCGTGGGGAGCTCTGCCACAGCTTCTGCTTCTTCCAGTTTGGGAGGGCATGTAGCCTGAAATATGAGGAATCTGTGACCTGCCGCCTTGGTGCCGGCTTTTGTTTGCTCTTCCGTATTGTTTGGGTTGTACAGGCATCCAATCCTCAATAGTATCTGTGTGTGATCAGGTTACAGAGCTGTGCTTCCAAAATGGGCAGAGAGCAATACGTGTGCACAGTTCTGACAGTGTGGAAGGGATGATTTTCAACATCACCTCCACCAAAAATAGTGTTTGCCAGAACCCTGCGCTTCTGCTTAGCGCTGCTACCAAGAGTCTACCTGTGCTGAAATGTGTTTGGTGCTGTATCTTTGTATCTCAGAACTCAGGTCCCATCAGCTTTGTGCTTTCCTGTCAGTCCCCCTGGAATTTTGGATGCTAGAGGGCTCCAGCTGGAAACCTTCTGTGACTACATGTAGAGCTCTGAAATCATACCTACTGAACCCTGGTTAGGCAAGGCTCACCTGTTGCCTGACAAGAGATCCATGTGCGTGCTGACAGCTTATAACATGCTAGGATGTCTTTTTT